GGTCTGTTAACGGGAGATCCTCATCGCCAGCGAGATCTATCCCGACTACAGTGTCATTGTGAAATTCCTTACACAATTCTATAATCTGCGGTGACCACGCTAAATGAATAAATCAAATATTTGTTATTAAGACTAATATTATAATAAAAAATACAACAACACAAACAATTCTCATGGGCACAGCTACGTCACAGAACGTTCTACTTTGCTAAGACGTGCTTGCACCACTGTATCATGTGTTTCTATGGGCTCTGTGAAAACAGCTAAAACTGCAGAGTCTCAACAACTATCCAGTTGTATGAGAGTTTTCGGCCTTTGTTTTCACCATGATAGTTGCCAGGCGGTGAAAATGCCCGGATGTTCGCCCCCGATAATATGAACAGCTCCACTCTTTCATTCACGATGACAACGGAGCTAAAAAGTTAAACATACCTGAAAAACCTCTCATGCAACATAGTATACTTTTAGCAGTAATACCAAAGTCTTTGCATCCTTCTTTCAAACCCTCGTTAACACATTGCACAACACCGTGAGGTGTCAGATCTCCATCGACGCGTTTCAACTCTGCAACCTTGGCACTAGCAAAGAAATGTGGACAGTAACGCATTTCTATGTATGCTACACCTTGATTAGCCTTGTCTTCACACAGCTCATATGCCATCCTCTTAATAAATTCACGATCTCCTCTGAAATTAAACAAGTTAACCAGTTAGGCAAACTATTTACTACCATATGTTATACCGCGATAGTTATCCCACATTTAACATAAATATTGAGCAAATTTCTTGAATTTGAAATAAACTATTTATAACGAGAGCACATTTTTTTCTGAAATTTTGTTCCTCGCATTCTACTATGTTGTACATTTTGTTTATTATCAAATAATGAATGATTTGAACGTCATCATGCATTGTTTATTTAATTCACATTACATACATTTAATACGTTGCATGAAACCATATCGAACACTATGTTGTGAAATGACAGGAGCTTTAATTAAACAAAAAAATTAATTAATATGCGCAACATTACATTAATATTGTTACCGAGGAGAAATTTGGACAAAACTTTTTGTAACAAATTGTGAGTTTTTTTCATCTTTCTTATACGTAGACTTTTAGTGTTTTTCATTGATGTTTCAAAAATGTAATTTTTGTTTGTATTTTATTTAAATTATTCCGTCATTATTATTTCACGGGAATCTTTGAAAGATGAAAGATGCCTGCAAAAACTCCAAAATAGACTATTTATATTAACTATTCTATCATGCCTAAAATGTTCAAATTCAGCTAAAACAAAAATTGTATTTTGCATGCGTTGTGGTTGCTGTTTCCCCAAATCAAACAGGAAAGGGTGCAGCAACTATAGTGATTTAACCTTTTCACCACCTGTTGCCTCTTTTCACAAATTCACAAAATAGTCCCCTTTATAGTCTGCACTTTTCTTCAGAAGATTGGGACAAAAAATTGCCAAATTTTTTGATTGAAAACTAAAAATTTACTCAAATTTTGTCTGTTGGCTCCAAAATTAGGGTTCATTTCCAGAAATATTAATGAATATAAGAAAAAATTGGGAGAGAAAAAAAAAAGAATATTAGCATAGTCATGCAAGTTTGTGATGGAAGTGAGGCTATAATTTACATATATGCAAATTTAGATAGGTATCAAGAGCATGGCAGAAGCTCATGTGAGAAACAGAAATTTGTTGATCAGCTAAAAATAAATAAATCAAACTTACACAATCCATGGGATAAAAATTTTAAATGTCTTTAAAAACTTGGTTAAATTTCCAATTTCGGTATAAGTCACATCATTCTTGAACTCTTCAAATGGCTTCTGTCCATACGGTGATCCTCTCTTTCTAGCAATAAAATATAAATAAATATTAAATAAGTTTGAAGTCAACTTTTTCCACTTTTCGCTAATCAAAACCATATTTTACCAATATTTGTAAACAATGACGCGCTATGGCCATCTGACGCATGTGCACGTGACGACTCTCTCGCTTTAAATCCAGATATATACACATATTTTATAAAAATTGTACTAACAGTCAAAAATGGATTTAAATAGTCATTATTGTGGACTTAAATTCAATTGCAATTAAAATGTATATATCCACATATTTTGATATGGATTTAAATTTTCAACATTGAGTGTCATTAATTATGCCAGTGTATCAAAACAATAAAATGTTCTTATTTTCTACCATTTTGGATTTGTTGTTTCATGTGTCATACGAGATAGGATATCAAAAATTGTACACAAAGTCAATAATGAGAAGTCAATCTAGATTTAAGAGAGCAAAACAAATAAATTATGATCATATTGAATAAAGCACTTTTTGCACTCTTGCTCTGTATTTTAAAGGGCGACAGTTGCCGCGCCGCGTCATGTTCAATATGGGACTCATAGTGACGTATACAACGCGTGTAAAATACATTGTTTATTTACATGAAATTATAACATGCGTTGCCCGACGACCACCGCGCTTTAATCATCACTTCGAGTTTTGAATGTTCTTGTTTTGAAAAAAATATATATAAATTAATCATAAACAACATTCGTGCGAAATCTGTAAAAAATGTGCATGGTGGGAAAATGACAAAACAATGACTTGATGGCTAAAAGTTTTCAACCTAGGGGGCCCTGCACTGTGTTACATCTTATGATAGTATAGTATGCCTGACATTTCCCTGCAAATCCAGGACATACCACAGCTGTAGTTAAGAAAGAACTACTGTAAAATGACTAATTTTCACTGGGTTTAAATTTCACTGATTTACCATTTCAGGCATATTCATTGGATTTTAAATTCACGGTTTTATCATTTATATAATTTGTTCTATGCTAAATTTTACATGTTCACTGGGTTTTAATTTAGCGCATTTTCCAGTCAGCGAAATAAGCTAAATTAAAACCCAGTGAATAATTAACCATTTTACAGTATTTCAACATCTTTGGGTGTTGTTGTCAGTTTTGTGTATGTAATCTCATTTTTGTATTTATTTTTTTTACAACTGAATCTTCTAATCAGCCTGCTGAGGCTTGATTTTTTTTTTCTTTCTAGAATTGAAATAATTATAATACTTACTTGGCTAGCTCATAAAGCGACGAGACTCTAATACTGCCATCTAAGTGGCAGTGCAACTCCACCTATAGTGCAAACATACAGTTTAACTGTCAAACTGGGTCAAGGATACTGTACTGTGAATGGCATGTTAAAAACAAACATTTTTAAAAACTATTATTACTACCATTAATATTAATATACTAAACATTTCTATGAAGGGGAATAAATATCGAACACAACAGACTTTCTCTGGTAGAATGTTTAGTAAATATGTTAAGGATGTAGACGTCATAGATTACCGTCAACAACTGAAAATAATTTAACAATTTACACACTCGCAGTTATAACATATGTTACGGTTATTGAAAATAAAAACCCGGCATGAATTTTGGTCGAAATAATGGTCTAATTCATGAAACATGTCGCAAAATCTGGTTCGCTCGCATGTGTGACAACACGAAGTTCGATGTGACCTACTACGGTATGACTTTAGTATTACGGTAAACAACTTATAGTGCTGTGACTGTACACTGGCAAACCGGTACATCGCTTGTAACACGTCCAAAGTCCAAATTAGATTGTAAACCATTTGTATCAAGTGATAGGTTGTCTTTATATTTGCGGCGTTTACCATTTGTGATCGCTACAAGACAGTGGAGAGTCACTATATATACTTATATAGCAAGAATTTGTAAAATTTCCTACCCTGAATTTGGTAACTGACGATGCTGCCATCTTTGCTAGTGAAATAAGCATTGTTAGCTACTTGTAAGGCCAGGGGCCAGCCTACTTTGAATACCATTCACTCAGAGTGACTGATAGGCTGATCCGCAACCAATGACGGAAGTGTCCTTCTGTTGGAGGAATTCCAATAAAAGGTCACGGTTAAGGTGGTTTATTGAACCGGCCCAGAGTTGGATATAAAGTTGAATCCAGGTTTTAATTCGACAGTGTGCAACCTGGCTATTCCTATAGGGCAGCGGACCTTGTAATCCCTAACCCTAAGTATACATATGGGTCAACCATTTGAATCCATGGGGGTGGCAGGAAAAGTGTATTTTTTGTTCGGGTGTCTTTTCTGTACATTTTGTTTTAATGTGCCAATATTCTTCCCTTCAACATTTTGTATGCATTTTGTTTTCGCTGTCTAGCTTGACATTTTGTGTGTGTTAACAAATCTTCCAGCCACCCTCCATTATGTCAAATGATCGACCCCTAACCCTATCACACCTTCCGATTAGAGTGTCCAGCTGAGAGTGCCCCCCTGAGCAATACTGAAAGTATTTTGGACTTCTAGTTCAATGTTTCGACCGTAACATAATAATATAATTATAAATTATTCTAATGTAAAAATATCAGAAGTTAGTGAAAACATATTTTATTTACATATTTTGGTCTACATAAATATTTATTACTGCGTATAATATTTATATTTTACTATACTTTCAGAAAATAACATAATAAGCCACGAATTACTAAAATCATGCAATAACCAATCAAAAATTTGTTTTCACTCGGTTTGACCGGAAGCTTGAAACACGTGTTTTGTTAGATCTATAAACAGCCATATATACGATGATGTGTTATCAATAGCTGGCGATACAATACTTCTTGAAATGGCAGTGCGATTGTGGAAGAGTTATATAGATTTCGTGGCTAAATATCCTCTGAAGTCGCAAGCTTACTCATCAGGTCAGTCTTAGCCCCTCTGTGGGCAATTTACTGTTGCACACCGACTCTAATCAATATTTCGACAATATTTCCTAAGCTCTGTATTTTTTTCTAGTACATATCCTGTCAGCCGTGGTGATTCAGGCAATATCACGATTTGAGGCCTGCCGTGGCATCATCAATATTATAGTCATGACCAACAGCCCTCACAAACACGTGCTATTATTTAACCAATGCCAGATACATTCCCACCAGGGAAAAACTTCCTTAAATTAATTAAAGCGCGGTGGTCGTCGCGCAGCGCGTGTTCGAATTTCATGTAAATAAACAATGAATTTTACACGCGTTGTATACGTCGCTATGAGTCCTATATCGAGCAGGACGCGGCACGACGACTGCCGCCCTTTAAGGTAAAGGGAATTTAGCCATTTTCCAAGTAATTGTACTTTCGAGCAATATAAGAATATAAGAATAAAAAAAGCTGGGGTTCACCTGTTTAATTTTCGAAAAAAATTATGGTTGTATTTTAGTGGATATACATCGTGGTTATTTTGGCAGGATTCCAGTGCTTTTACCATAGGTTCCTATGATAGAGATAATTAAATATATCATATCTTAAATTATAGGCTGGTGACATACATGTAAGCTGAAAAAATTGTCACGGTATATTGTGAAGAATGGGGTACTTTTTGCTCTCAATTATTTAAAAAATCTGGCTTTTAAAAAGTGGCAAGTTTCTCAAAATGCTATTTTATGGTGCCATAGCTTCACTATTTTACAAAATAAACCAATAAACATTTTCATGCGATTTATGACCACTTATGAGTAGGCTGTTCGATACATACCTGTAAAATACATTATTTTTTTATATTTTATTTTATTTTTCGTTAATACATAAAATCATTCCATCAAAAGAGTACAATTTCTACACAAAAAAACATGGTAACGAGATAATTATAAGATACATTGTTTGTTTACATGAAATTCGAACACTCACTGCGCAACAACCACCATTTATATTTATTTATTTATAAACACATAAAATCCCCAGGAGGGGATAAAAAGGGTCACAAATCAGATATAACTATATCAATATAAAAAAAATAACTAGATGAAAAAAAATGAAAAATAAATCAAGGATATAGTAAAAAACAATAAAAAAGTATTGAAACTACAAATACTTTAATGTCTTCGCCCCTAACCTTAAATCTAAACCCTTACACTCCAGTTCCCCCAGAATTAGTTAGCATCATGAAAAACAGGTTGCCCTGTGGGTAATCACTCATGTTTGTGTGCGCCTCGCTACAGGTAGTGTAATTTTATGACAATTCTCTGTATTGTGTCATACTTTGATATTACTGCTTGCATTCAGTTTTGAACAACAGTGAAGCTGATTTGACACAGTAACAACAGGTGCAAAATGTTTACGTACACGTAGCTTCCGTACTTGATAGGCAATTACAGAGTGACTTTGCAGCATCCCAGACACTTTCAGTGACCGTTGTAAACGCAATATGGCAAGACATATAAAATACATTGTTTGTTTACATGAAAATCGAACACACACTGTGCAACCACTGCCATTTATATTTTTTTATTAACACATATCATCCCCCGGAGGGAATGAAAAGGTTTACAAATCAGATATCAGTAAAAAAAAACATAACAACATGAAAAAAATGGGGGGGGGGGGTCAAGGATATAAAAAATAATAAAAAAATATTGAAACTACAAATCCATATACTTTATGGTCCGGCCCCTAACCTTAAACCCAAACCCTTACACTCCAGTGACAGTCCCTCCAGAATTACTGTAAAACATGTCTTTTTCGCAAGCATGTCTTTTTAGCGAATTTAGCGAGAGAACTGATTTGCTAATTCAAGATGTCGCTAATGACTTTGACAGTTTTTCTTTGTTTTTATGGAGATGATAACTGCAT